GTCCTATTGTTCTTCCACCTGCACAATGTACAAATCCCCGGGGTGGGATGGGTGGGTTGGGTTTAGGTGGATGAACCTAAGAGGGGACTACGCGTCCTATTGTTCTTCCACCTGCACAATGTACAAATCCCCGGGGTGGGATGGGTGGGTTGGGTTTAGGTGGATGAACCTAGGAGGGGACTACGTGTCCTATTGTTCTTCCACCTGCACAATGTACAAATCCCCTGGGTGGGAAGGGTGGGTTGGGTTTAGGTGGATGAACCTAAGAGGGGACTACGCGTCCTATTGTTCTTCCGCCTGCACAATGTACAAATCCCTGGGGTGGGATGAGTGGGTTGGGTTTAGGTGGATGAACCTAGGAGGGGACTACGTGTCCTATTGTTCTTCCGCTTGTACAATGTACAAATCTTCAGAAAAAAAAAAAGGTTTCGAAGCTTGATGTTTGTGTTGTGTACTTCATAGTATAAATACGGAGTGTCGAATAAACTAAACTTGTTTACACAGAAGTAAACAGTCCTCTCTCAATTATAACTAGCAGCTGACAAATGTACCCACATGTATACCTATTTTTCCCTCATATTTGGTCTCAGTAATAAATTTTCAAACCTTTATCAAGCGCAAATAGCTTACCTGAATTGATCCTTAATGTAAATTCGTACAGTCTCCTTTGCGTAAAGCTGTAAAGCGCAACTGAAATCATTGGTGACGTATGACATAGGAGTGCTAACTCCATATTGCCTTGGAATGGCCTTAAATCGGAAACAGACAGTCAATGACGTCATCTCAATGCTTACGCCCACTGAAACTGAAACATGATCTCCTGAACTGCTATTGGTGAAACGGAAACCTGCGAAAAAGATGTAATGACAGTCAAAACATTACAATAAAGGATTTCAATTGGCAGGATTTTACTTACTAATAGAGAAAAAGAAACCGAAAGCCTTAAAGTTTACCACTTAAAACACTGAACATTTCTAGCCCTTTTAGTAGAAAACGACCCCAACCTTTATGTAACCCAGACCAACAAGTGATGGAAATCTAGTTAATTTCCTCTCAAGGTCACGTGAAGTATTTTAAGATCACTCCCGTTTCCTGAGGTTCCATGAGGATCCACAGATAACTGAACCTGCATTACGAGATTTTTTAATATGGAAAACTCATATTGCACCTTCGTTGTTCTCCATCCAAAAAATTCGAGAATTGCCAAGGAACGTTGGAGCCGCTACCCTGATTCTAAAAATAGCTTGTGAGAGATATAATTTGGTGTAATATGTATATGAGGGATGCAGTCTCATTTAAAAACTCTCTCCTGTCATACACAGCATTGTGAGCTTTTTGTCATTCTTACCCTTAAGATGCTGGCAAAGATCACCAGTATAACGTTCCTGACACTGACAACAATATGGAGCTACTCTGCTGTTAAAGACGGGATGGCATGTTCCACCATTTTGGCACCTCATTTTCAAGCATGGTTTCTATAACAACAAACGCTGATATATTAAATACTTTGCACTACAAATGACAAATTTTATAATTCATAGGAAGGGATTGAGTTACTAATTAAGTGAAATAAATATACTGGATTATGGTAGGAAAAAGAGAGTTTGAAATATTTCGTTTTTATGTTGGAATAGTTATGGAAATGAAAATGTAGACTGCAAGTCTGTTTGTGCTTTTGCATTGGTCCGTATAAACTTGGGCGTTGTTTTAACGAAATTTTTGAAGGAGGACGGAATTAAAGTTGTAACAGACAGGATCATTTAGCGATCGATTCTTACCAATTCAGAGTCGTAATAGGAGAAACCATCTCCTGGTAGTAAATCATGCGACCTCGTCAATCTTGTCTGGTCATTCAATTCGCAGATGTGTGGTCCTTCAAGAATATTGTCTCGATAGTTAAACGATTCACACCTCTCGTGACGCAAGCATGTCAAAGAGCATTCTATTTCGGATCGAACAGTTCTTGAAAGGAACACGTGATTCTTTAACGCCCAACCTGAAGGCAGAAAGTGAGCCAGTACAGTAAACCAATCACGATGGCTTAAACTTCAACCAAAGCATGCGTGCGGGGAGTGAAAATAATATCTTGGCAGCACAGTTCCTTGATGCTGTATAAGCCTCATTTTTACGTAACTTTGAGATAATTTTTGCCATAGAAAGTAAGCATAGATGGCAGCCCGCTCACTATTCCTTTGTACTCCTATGGGTTAGCCCAACTGGCCTCATCTTTGAGTTAGGGTTTTATATTTCCTAAGACATATCGAAGAGGCTAGTTGAGGTAATCTGCATAAATACAAAAGAAAAACAGGCGAGTCTGCCATTTATCCATAATGTGACTGCTAAGAATATTTTTTCCATTTCTGTAGCGAATGAGACACCAAAAGGCAATAGACAAGACTTGGAGTATGCACATTAAAAACTAGTGTCAAAGAGTACCGCTATTGCAGGAAACGTATTTTGAACAATTCAATGCTTGCGAAAATGTTCATGCATCACACGAGTACATCTCGTATCATCCTCAGTAAATATTATATCTTATTAACCAAGCGCGAGGGCCGTACTGGGAGAATATCGGCCCGAGGTCTTGACAGTACGGACCGAGCGCAGCGAGGTCCGTACAAAAAAGACCGAGGGCCGATATTCTTCCGGTACGGTCCCGAGCAATCTTGGTTAAAAAGAGATTTATTATAAGACTGAAGTTCAAAGGACACAAGTGCGGTATCATTCGGGACCATTCGGGACAGTGCCCGGTCCAATACTGAGAGAATATTTACCGGCAATAGAGCACTTTGATTGGTTGATTTTAGTTATTGGCCCTTTGACTACCCGAGTCCCGAGTCGTGTAATAAAACAGATTTTTCGAGTCCACATGCAACTTTAAAAGGTAACCTTTGGCACAACACCTGTAATGGGGAATTACTTTATCCAAGAGAACACGAATTGAATAAACGTTAAACTGAGATCAATTCCTCGTAAATTACTGAATATGATGTTAATTAAAAAACAAAATAGAAGAAAAAAAAAGGTTCTTGTAATTAAAAGAGAACTCTATTGCAAATATATCTTTCAAAATTCAGCGACAGACGTGTCGTGTATGGTACATTTTCTTCAGTGTACAAAACCCACCAACCATAATGAGCATCATCTAGATCTTATCAACATAAATTTATCATGACAAAGGAGGTGCCTTCATCAAAGCAGCCGCTCAGTAAGACTAAGCGGTAAAATTAGATTTGACAAATTATCATTGAATGAGGCTTGAAGGGCGATCTGTTCTCTCAGATCATCCTTGTATTAGGTCATCAACTTGCATTGTCTCTCCTGTTGTTATAACAAACCTTTTCCCTTGCGCTGATAAACCGCATGACGCCAGTTTTGCTGGCCGCCATTCTCATTCCTTGGACATCCTCCCTCTGCTCTTAGCAGCGAGCGTTCCGGGTGAAGAATCAATATGAAAACTGACAATAGACACAGCTGGATGGATATCATCTCTAACATTAAAAAAAAACAGGCTTGTTACTGACAAGTTATTTTTCAACCCACAAACAACTTATTATTTTTATACATTTTCAGCGCTGTGCATGCCAACATGATCCGCTAATCATCTCATAGTTTGAAATTCTCATCCAGCTAATGCTTCATCTTTTTCGGTCACGGTAAAACGTGTTTGATATCTTCCTACAGAAATTAATAATAATTACTATGCATAATTAGTCTCGACGTAAAATGAATGATTTGCATGCTAACCAAATCGAATCATTACTCTTAAGGGAAAAATTACTGTTAAATGAATTGAGGACTTCGTTAAAAAAGACTTTATAATCTAAAGAGCTTTAAAAATGATGATAACAATCATAAAGGAGTTACAAATTACACACGCATATAAGAAAACCTAACTAGTAAAAACTCTAGCAACGAAATCAAGGCTAGAAAGATATCGAGGTAAAAAAAAATCATAGGTTACATATATACCGAAAATCAAAGACATTTAATTGGATAGAGGAGAACGCTTCTTAACAGTATGATAGAAAAATGATACTTACCGCTCTGATACAATCAATCGAAAGTTGCCGATTTGAAAATTGTTACAATGAGGTTTAAAAAAAAAAACTTATCTTTCGCTAGTGTTATTTTATTGTGTCTAATTTTATCTCCAATTTTCTGCATCCAATCATCTACCGGAACACTACACTTCTCAAGTGGAACCGAACGCACTTGCACGCAGACAAACTTTTTCAGCTTTTTTTAGAAAGTTACGCCGAAATTATGGAAGTAAAAACAGAATGAAAAATCTCTTGCTAAGTAAACTGTAAATACTAATAAACATATTTCGACTTGCATGGTCTAAAACATCCTCAAACATCTGCTACTAATTTTAAAGATCTAGATACAATCTGTTTTTTCTCAATTCTTTTCTTTTGCCAAAATGGTTCGGCTTTGTTTCTAGGAATCGCAAAAGAAAATTACTTTCGCTTTTCTGAGTTTTAATTAAGTCACTGCAGGACAAACGAAGTATTCGATAAAAATCAAATACATACGGTCTACGAACGTCAATCTGTGACACTGTTAAGTAAAATGTGTCAAAAAACAGAGTTCATTTAATTGCGCTGTGTCTGTGCGCGCACTTTCGGTCTGTTTCACGTGCAGCTCATCTAAGGATAAGTAAATGACTAACGTACACGTTGTAATGAAATACTTGGTCATTAGCGCCAGACTTATTTATAAAGAAATGTAACGCCAGAATCGATGACCATCGTAAAATGTACTGGGTATCGACAATTACCGAATTATTACCGAAATCTCCTAGCTTTTAGACAGCTTATTAATAAAGTTTTTATTTGTTCATTCAGAAACCCCCTATTCCTCTCCGCTCCCCTTCACACATGCTATATTGACTTGTTAATGGCTGCTTGATTCGTTCTTGAGAATAGTTCGAGGAGTTAGAAGTAAAATAATTTGTTTTGAGATTAATCGGAAGTTCCCCGATGATCGTTTTTACTGAGGAGGGAGTAGGAAATCTAGAATATTCTGAGCATCTGTATGAACTTTGGGTGCTATGAATTAAATGAGATGCTTAGGATTGTACATAGTGTGGCAGCATTTGGGGGATTGACTATCGCATCGATAGCTGATTTACCTTGTTGTTTTCCTGAGATTCGATCGATGAGAACCTGAAAGCTGTAAAACATTCTAAACCAAGTTCGGTTGAATCTTCGGATAATATGTACGTTCTACTTAACTGAAATTCAATGTAATGCATACATTGCAAATTAAATGTCCGATCGGCGAAGCGTTATGCATCCAATTCTACGCTTAGAGCTATATTCTTTGTGAATTTCAAGATATCAGCTAAGTTATGCGTGGCTGAAACTCCTTTTCTGCACCTTCTCGACTGCTAAAACTGACATTACGTAATAAGGAGGCAAACTGGAGTAGCATTAAAACGATGACAAACCCTGTTTTTTTAAGCCATAACTGATCTTTAGAATTGAACTTTAGAAACAAATTTAACTGAGTGTCGAAATTAATCCGGGATATCTAAGGTTTCACTTAACTTTGCTAATCAAAGTAAAGTGCTTTGCTTTGCGATTGGTCCAGAAAACTCGTGCATTCCCCTCAACCAATCAAATGCGAAAACTATAAACAATTGCGAAGTGGTTGCTCGCGTTTTGCGCACGTCAAGCTGTTTTCTTGTTTTCACTTCGAGTTCTCATTCGTTAATAAAAATGTAAACTTTCCTTCTGATTGGTCGCTGGGATTATTTTGGTTTTGGTTTTTTGACACTCCGTTATAACCTGCTTTATCATCTTTTCTAAAAGCGTCTTTTGTAAAGCCAAGCTTATTATCTTCATGAGCGACTGAAAGCCAGACTGTACTGGTCTTCAGTGCATTACCGACAAAGAAACTAAAAAAATTTAAGAAGACGAAGCTTGACATGATGGTTCAACGGTGAAGTTTGTTTGGACTTTTTGAATAAAACGACTTTCCAAAATATGAAAGAGCTTCAGAAATAAACTTTTTGTCATTTATCATCGCTGCTGACCCAATATTGTGTTTTGATTATTTATCGACTAAACGCAAGGAAAGAATCCAAGGGTCGAGTGTTCCGTAATTCCTTTCCTCCCAAAATCTCCTTAGTAACTCTCCCTACAGTCTGCCATACAATTCTTATGATTTTAGTTCCGAGAATTTGGTTTTGGATCAGCTAATAATCCCCTAACTGATATATTTTTATTCCTATTATTTGTTTGTTTGATATTTTAATGATATTGTAAGGAGAAATTGTGTCTCGGTAACTTCTAACGGGCACTTTTGTCTGTGGACAGTTTATCGTATGGCGACGGTGGTCTAGACTAACCCCGGTTTTCAACTGAAAGTTTCTGATGCAGGTTTTTATGTTTTCATTGAAGCAAGCATACAGCTCTCTTAAGAACATCTTTACAATTTCGCTCAGTGTAGCCCTGATTGCAAATATATCTGGCCAGCGCTTGCTTCCTATTTTATAGAACCCCAGACGGATGTTTTGATGTTTCGTTAATCAGTATTGAATGATACGAAAACTCATTACCTGTTGCTTACTAACGCTACTAGTTGTAGCCTTGGCAGTTTTTGATTTCACCTAAGCCTCCAAGAAAATGTGCTTCCTCCACTTAACTTCTAAACTAAACCTGTTTGTAGTCTTCAGTCTTGTCATCTTATCTAAATAGGTCAACATTTGATCCCGCTTTTTAAACAATTTTCAGTAAATGTACAATATTGGTTCAGAGACTAAAAACTGCTAATGGAACAAATAAATTTCAAGAGATGACAATCTATTTACACTGTCCAATCTCAAATATTAAATCTTTTTTTCAGCCCCCTGTTTTCCTTTCAGTCGATAATTGTTTGAATTGGATAACAAGTAGTACGCTGAATTCCTACTTCTATTTTCTTCCTGGTTACGATCTTAACTCGTTGAAGTGCTTACAAAACCGGCAAGAATAACGATTTTTCGAACTCCTTTGTGAAATAGAAATAGGTTTGAATTAACCCATGGTTGGAAAAAAAGCATGAGCGGATGTTACAATGTTTGAATGAAGATGGAAAGCAAGATTAGGCTCGAAGTCTAGACAGTTTCGAAAATTAAATCGTTTGAGGATTCAGTTTTTGGCTGTTAGATGCAACAAGCCCCGTACGGCTTACCACTATAGTTTTAAATGTAGAAAGTTTTATATGTGGAAACAATTACCCTCGATATATGCTCTGAAAGCTTGGTTAAAGGGAATTTGCTGTTCATTTAATGTTATTCTGTTGAAACACACCAGAGGAATAAGTTTTAAAAGCATGCATGTGATGGTACTTTTCAGGCCAAAAACCTTTGTAACTCAATATGATTCGATTCTAAATGTCAAAGCACAAGTTTGCTTCCAGTTTTAGAAATATTTCCTCTGTGGAACAATGTACATCTATTGAAAATGAAAGATATGGAGATGCAATTTACAATTCGACTTTCTCGATTAAAACTGGACTTCAAAATATCATTCTGAGCTTCATAAACGCATTTTACCGAGGGAAAATTAAATTTCTGAATTACAAAAAAAAAGTTACCCATATTGCGTTTTAATATATTTCAATTTCCAGCTAGACTTCTTAATTCGTTTGCCGGAAGCAAGTGTTAGTGCCAAACAGTCAAAGCAGAGTTTCCTAAATGAAATACGATACATCATGGCAAATTCATTTTCCTCGAGTATGGGAAGTAAATTATGAAAAAACATTTGTCAATTTACTTTCGTCGTTATACTGAAAAACCTTCTCGCGTCAAGATGTAAAAAATGCATATATAAATGAAATGAAAAAATTGTTTTACAATATGTTTTTCGGAATTAACATTTTTCATTAAATTGGTAACTATTCTTGAAACTTATTGTCTTTGTAAATTTTATTCCAGAAAAATTGCCATTGGACGTTAAGTGTGCGTCTTTTAAGGCTTTTTTTCATTTTTTTTCATATTCTTTTTGTTACTATGCACCGGCTGGGCCAGAATTAAAACTTAATACCTCGCAAATGTTCTTTTTCAAGTGTTCTCAAGTGTTCTTTTTGACAATAACAAATGGACACGGAAGAAAAAAATTCTCTTGCGAAGATATTTGAGGTAACCATTTGGCGCAATTTCTTCACGCTCTCGTTTTACAGAATACATTGCTCTCAGAATCTCACATAGATGTCATTTACCTCGAAAACATGTTCTAAACTGTTTTCATATGCGAGATATCGCGGCTGTCACAAGAATATGCCCTTACCGTGTTCTCGTAGTCTTAAAAACTGGAACTTTAGAACCTCGCTTTGAAGAGTTTTGGTTACACACGCAACGTTTAGACTATTCGAGTTTCTAACAGACAACTTAAGAGTTGACGAGATACTTCAAGAAATATATTGTAAGCTATTAAAGAGGAGAATCTGTGGCAGCTGCAGAAAGATATGCTAATAAGATAATATTTTTTGTGTTTATAATTGGCAATTGGTTCTCGAAGTTATCACCTACAGAAATCTTTATGACAGCTTAGCTTTTCCGTTTCTTATCGAAAGGAATTGATTTTCTTTATGTTTTATTATATTAGTGCCGAAAACGTAAAAACAGCTGCGCTAAATCATATCGAAAATACTACTGCCGTATTTTGGCTGATAACGTGGAGAAAATTTTCTTCTATTGGAACCAATGAAGCCATTGTATAATAGCTAGGGCATTCAGTGATGAAAAATAGTACAGGCCGAGTAGATTGGTTTTATAGTTTGGAAGTGCTTAATTTCGACAGAGTTTGAATAGAGGGAGAACCGAGGCCAGATCATCAATTCTGAAAAATGTGCACAACAAGAATACGAAATGCGATACAATGAAATTACCTTAGCACACAATGAACATCGTTTTCCCTTTGCAACAGCTTTTATTAGATTATTCTATTTCTTTTAATCTTGCTTCACAAACATATAGTCCAGCAGACTTGCTACACTTTCATTTCTCTGGCCATCGCTTTGATACCTTCAAACGTCTCCATCGCTGTGGGAACAATCTGATACGCTGGTAACAGGAAACCGTAACGTCCTGTATCCCTCAATTCTAAGGCAAATGAATATTTGATCTTCAGCGCTCCATATGTGTAGTCCTTGCTACCTCCAGAATTTTGGTCTGCCAACACAATTACAGATTTCATTGTTAGAATTGCATCGCGCATGCGTTTCGTGTCCGGAACATTTCTTTCTCGTAGTTTTTATCCGAATGTCACACGCAGTCCGAGACACTTACGGAAGTACCCATCGTGGCTAATTGTAAGTTTGAGAACCATACTTATTTCCTACTGACTACGCTGTAACGCTTTACAGAAGATTCACATGAAACCATTGCCCTAGAGCTCTCATTTAAATGATAAAACGAGCAGATTTCACACAAGAAGGTAACCACAATGTATATAATTTGGATATATCAACAAAGTTGAAATGGTAAATTGCCACCGTAACGATTACAAAAGCTGACGTTTCGAGCGTTAGCTCGTCGTCATTCGCTCTGACGAAAGGCTAACGCTCGAAACGTCAGCTTTTTAACTCTTTACAGTGGCCAATTTACAATTTCAATTTAGTTGAATGAATAAAAGAGGTGAGTTTCTTAAGAAACGGTGGTGCTGCGTCTGGGTGGGGGTAACTCGTCTTTCGCTCTGGCGAAGGGCTAACGCTCGAAGCGTCAGCTTTTAAACTCTTTACGGTGGCCAATTTCGATTTCAAATTAGTTGACAAAACCAAAGTTCAGAAACAAATAGCTCATTGAAAAACATGCCGCTTTCTGAACACGTGGATTTATATATTGCCTACAATCATTAAGAGGAGGTTGATGATGCGAAACCATACTCCAAGGTTTCTTTCAATTTAGTGCAAATGCGTAGCGAATAATCTTCACCAGGCCCTGGTGGTTCGAAGGTTGGATCACGCTATCCACTGGATGAATCTTTATTCAGTGGATAGCACAGGTCG